AACAAAACCGAGAAATCACGTCTCCATAGCAAATCGAGAAAATGTTGGGTTGGACAGTGTAATCATTTTATCATATGTACATTGTTACCCTAAAGTTCTAGTGAATGAGAGCTTTTGCACGCTTCTCACCAATTTTTGCCAGTAAACACACACATTTTTGTTATTTTGTGGACAACCGACTACACAAAACAGGCGTCGAGAGAGTTTGGCACTGCGGCCTTAACATGGTCTTCGTTGACCACTTACTTGACCGGGTGCCAATCGCCAGTTTGCCTTCAAGGGGATAAAATCTCGGGAGGAGTAGAGGTGGAAGAGCTTATCCTCGTCCTGGAGTCACGCCTTTGACCCACAAGGCACATTTCAATCAACTCTCACGCATTATACCCAAATTTTGTTTAGAAGAACTTCAAAAGGAGCACGAAGTGTCCTTCCGTCGGTGTTTTGCAATCATTTTAATGGTGACTGCGGTGAAATGCAAATTATTTAATTGCATTTGGCTGCAGATACTCATAAACTCATTTACTTTGCTTTCGTTTACACACAAAGACGGTCAAAAGTGTCGCTTGGTTGTGTGCAGAGAAGAGGCAAAGCTGCCAATGTAAAATGAGCGGAAGTTGTTCCCCTTCCTCCTGTGCATTTTGTTTAGGGCTAAAGAAAAGCGACTGCGAAGAGACGCTTCTCGACAAAGTAATTGGCGCAATGAAGGCGATCTCAAACTCCTTCAGGCAGACGACATCGAGGACGACGAAGTGGAAGAGGAGAATGAGGATGAGTCGCCTTTCCTGTCAAAGACGAAGACATTGTCTATGCATTCACAACCGCAACCCCACGAGTCGTCTATCCTCGCCACTGGCAGCAGTGTTGACAGTGGAGCTGAGAGTGAAGGCGAACTCTCTAACTCATCTATTTCACATGGTGAATTGTTGTTGTTGATTGTGATATCCTTAAGGTGAGAAGCATGTTGATGTTATCATTGCCTTTAGGTCAACAACAATCGGAGACAACTGATCACACCGCTCTTCAGCATTCACAGGCATTTCGAAATCCCATAATCACTTGGATTCCGCACCCCACAGACATGGGCTGTCAGGAGGCGTTTGCAAGGACCACATTTTGCCAATTCCAGCACTCCCACATTTCCAAGTCACAAGTCTTCCGCTGACGTCATTCACATCATATCATTACGTTTTAGCCGGCACGCTTTTTTGATCAAGTTAAATCATCTGGTGGCGTACAAAATACAGTCTTTGAGTTAAACTGTATTTAAAGTAAGGCATCCGTGGAAGAGGTCACACAGAAAAGTGCATCTTCCTCTAATTATTAATTGCTTCATCCAAGGTAAGCCTTATGGGGCTGTGTTTAAAAATGTGTCTAGCAGTGTGGTACACATCAGCAGAACCCGGTAATATGTTAATTTAACAAATCACACAAAGTTGGGAAGCTACAAAACAAATAATTGACGAGTTCTTCAAAAATGCACATATAATGGGTCTTTGCCAATGGGATGGGTGGTTACACTACCATTTTATGCCGCTATGCAACAGACTACAAACTTGACGTGTCTCAAGACACTGTAGCCAATATAACCCAAAG